GTTTGTTGTAAATATGTCATTAATGGACGTTACAGTACTTTATGTTAATTGTGATTAATTCATTCTCAAATTAACTTGTTATTAAAAAGAACAGTTCGCAAATAAATTAAAAATGTCATCATCCAAAGGCATTTTACTCACGAATAGCAGATTTAGAAGGATGTTATTTTCGTAGACATGAAAATTAAAGAACATCTCTCAAACCACATCGGTTTCTCTTCCTCTACGCGTCGGATGTTGATTTTTCCCTCACAATAGACTGCATTCATAGGAAAGCATTTGGAGTATTTTCGTTTATGAAACCCCGACATAAATACACAACTTATGGAACAATTATGTGAAGCGGGTGGTCTTGGTCAAGTAACTGTAGGCATTTATCTCTGACGTCACAATCGTGACGAGAACCGAACTTCAACGTAGCTTAACGAAGTTGAGGGTAGAGGCGTGGATCGCGTCCAATCACGATTCAGTACGTCGTTGTCCGCCGAAGAGAAAGGATTCGTTAACGGTTGTAGTCTGCGCAACCAGAAGCATCTTATATTCATGATTACAATAGACATTTCAAGGCTTATCGGTATGAATACAGGTGGTTCTTGCTTCAAAGTATATTTTATATTACTGTTGGAATATAACGTCATAATTTATTTCTGAATGTGGTTATATAAATTCGTTGAAGTTTGGGAATGTACGTAGTGCCAGTATCTGCGGTTAAAAAAATTGCACGTGGTCTTGAAAGTTACAACGTACAGTCGCTTTACCAAATTCGAAAAAGTTCAGAATTTATCTAATGTAGCGTGTGTTGTTTTTATTTGAATGGATATTACAAATGATTGAATCATTGTTTCATTACACGCTAAATAATTTGCACGTGTGAGAAGAATTGGAATTTTTGAACAGGTTTAGGGCACAGCAAAATATTAGGTTAGGCTGCGACCGTTAGAGCTTATACTTATTTTGTGTGTTTATTTTTCTTGGCTTGCAGCAGATTGCCCCAAGAGGAGCACACGGAATTTTGATTAGATCTCGACAATTGGAAGAATACCGTGCATGAAAATTCTAACCATGAACGAGAAGCTTTGACTGGACCCACGATTCCCTTCAGTGGTAATTTTTCAAGTGTATGGAAGGAGTTGAAAGTATATTTTACGTACTTTGGAAAGGTATAAATATATTATAAATCTGAAACATAATTATATTTATGCGGTACTGTGAACAGAAGATGGATTACGTGATGATAAAAGACATCAGACCTGGTTTGAAAAATATCAACGTGGTGTTCATTGTACTGGAGGTTGGCCATCCGACAGTGACTAAGGAAAACCGTGAGGTACGGACTTGCAAGGTTGCCGATTCAACTGCATGTATTAATGTTTCTATTTGGGATGAACCAGGACAGCTTTTGGTTCCAGGTGATATAGTCCGCCTAACAAAAGGTTATGCGTCGATTTGGCGCAACTGCCTTACCTTATATTCTGGCAAAACTGGTGATATACAAAAAATTGGTGAATTCTGCATGGTGTTTAATGAGCAATTAAATATGAGTGAACCAAATCCTGCTTTAGCTGTACAGATTAATCAAACATCAGGAACTCCCAACAATAACTGTGTTATTGGCAATAACAATGGTAATAACAACAATGGCGGTCAGGTCGGCCGCCATTCTGCTGTACAAAGTTCTCAAACTACACCTACAGTTCAACAGAATTCTGTGAGTACAGCGAAGGGGAATGGAAGTGGTACCCGTTTCAGTGGGGAACAGGTGGGAGGGGGGAAACCTCAGGGCAAAGGAAGCCAAAGAGGAAAGGGTGGTCATAGGAATGGTACACGTGGAGAGAGACGATAATGGATATTTTCTGAAATGACCCGGAAGTACGCTAGTAGGTGGTTTAATTTTATGGTAAACAATGTGATGTAAGTTGGTACATTAACTTCTCAATAGATTTGTTTTTACAAAAATGGATTTATTTGCATGCACTGGAGGTACTTATTGTATTTGCCATCAATTTACGGAAGGAGATTTATGTGTTAAAGTAAAATTTCCCGTGTATCTTACACATCAAATTAAAATGTTTAATGTTCTGCCTCCGTTGTTATTATCTCTTAGCAGTGGGCAGTTTTCAGATCACGTTTTCCTGTTCCTTGTCCTTGACAAATACTGAATTATATAGTTATTGATTAGTGAAATATTTTTCATTACCCAAATTAAAATTCTATTTGAGAATAAAAACGCCATTATGTGATTCTGCGCAGATGGTAAAAACAAGGCGAACTGTACACAAAGAAAAAATAAAAACACTTTCTAAAGAATTTTGTTCAAACTTAAACATACATCTGTTCTGTAATAATATACCTAACCAATGCCATCGGAAGCATGTACACCATTCCATATGCTTAAGTTCGAGATAAACATCGCCAGCATTGCTCATAATTCAAAGGAAATGGATTTTTTATTTCACTGCTTTTAGTTAGAAAGTAGAGCACAATGCATTTTTGAAAATACATGCAGTTTATATGTTTGGTTGTATTCTACAATATCGTGGGCTAGTAAATTAACGACGTAGTAAGGTCACAAATATGGCGTGTAGACAAGAGTTGACGTAGATTATGTCCCCGGTCTATTTGTGGTGGCTGGTATCATATTAAGCGAAATTGACATATTTTTACTTTGAGTAATATATATAATTACGTGTATAAATAACCGACAAGTGAAGTGCAACTGAAGAATTCTACTTCTACAGTCGAGATGGTGAGATGACGGAGAGGTTAGGGGAAGAATATGACGTGATGTCAAAAATAACGGATTCTTTCATCAATAATGAAATTACATGCAATAAAACTTTTTCGATGAATTACGGCACATTGTGTATCGCCTTGATATGTTTTTTGCTGTTTCGTACATTCCAAGATTTTTAAAATAAAAATAGTGTGAATGCAGGCAAATTCAACACATATCATAATGGCATTTTAACTTCGGCATAGAATGGTAAGTTCACCGACAGCCACAATTCACCACCATATATTTTTGTATTTGCACATTCTACCTTGTTACCAGCTACGAAAACAAAAATAAACAATTACTTATATAAAATGCATTGAAAAGAACCTTGTTTCTGTACAATATAGAAAAACTTTACACAACTGAAAACATGTAAACTGTATGGGCATTCATGCATTCTTTGCAAATAGAATCTGCATTCACATACTGCCTGCTATTGTTTAGTTCTTAATTTTCTCTGAAAGTCCGGATTTAATATTCTGTAATATTATAAGATATAAACCTGTTTGTGGCATTTGTTTTCCTTTTGTAGCCAAATGAAATGTTTTGTTCTTGTACTGAAAATTAGATAATTTAGCAGGTGACATCTGCATTATAACACTCATTCTTATGCAATAAGAGCTAAACCAGTGTTACTCTGGCTTTGCTATCAGTACAGTTCCCCTTCTCTCACACTGTTTAGGTATGTGGTGTTTGAATTACAATTAAATTTACTGTTAGTAGGATGTAATTATAATAAATACACAGTCACAGTGTACTAACATTAATAAACAAGCATTTTGCCTAATTGATAATGCATCAAATTATGCAAAATGAAATGTGCTGAGAAGAGTAGGAAGTGTCTTCAAAACAACCAATAATATTTTCTTGCACAAAAAACAACCAAAAACGTTTATTAAACTATCAGATTTTTAAAAATTAAAACATACTGGACAAACATGAATGCAACTGATGCCTGAAAAATCTTTGGCTGTTACTCAAGGGAGGAATATATATTGAAATTGTTTGAAAACAATGTGTTGAGTAGAATATTTTGACCACAGAAAGAGAAAGTAGTAGGAGTATGTAAAAATTAACATAATTAGGAGCTTTATAATATGCAAATATTTTAAGTCATTAAATCGAGGATGAGATGAGCAGAACACTCAGCATGCATGGCAGAAATGAGAAGTGTGTACATAATTTTAGTTGTATAACCTCAAGAGAAGAGATAACTTGGGAGACCTAAGCATACAAAGGAGGGTAACATTAACATCAACCAAAGTGTACAAGAGGAGCTGAAGTATATTGTCTGACAATGGACCAGACAACTGGGGTTTCATCCCCAACGGGAAAAGTACTTTTCTTCTAGCCTCTGCTTCCGGATTGGCTCTGGGACCTACCCATCCCCCCTATGCAGTAGGTACTGGGTGGTCCTTTCCCGAGGGGGAAAACACAACCAGGACATGATGCTGACCACTCACCCCCATCCAGTGCCAGAATGAGTAGGTGCTGCACTTCCTGTACCCCCAAGCACGTCCATGGCAAATAGCAATACAACTTTTCAAAGTATGAGAATGAACTGGATTAAACTGGCTTGAATTAGGGCCCAACAATGGGCTTTCATGAACACTAATAACCCTCAGGATCGATTACAGTTGGGAATTCTTGACAAACTGAGCAACTATCAACTTTTCAAGAAGGACCTTACATCATTACATTCATTTTGTAGACAACAGACACTCAGAATGTGAAATGCTAGTTGTCTCTAATTGTTTATGTTATGCTGAAACAAAAGGATGTCTATGTGCTGTCCCGTGTACAGGTAGAGGCCTTGTGACGGGCCGATCCCTCGTCCAAGGAGTCCTACCAAATGTCTATAGATCAAAGCCAACGAAAAAGTTGAGACCCGCAGTGCTGAGGCACTTGAAGAATGGGTTGTCAAAGTAAGTAAGTATGTGCCTAAAAACCATGCCCTGAAGGCATATAGATATGCGGATAAAAGACAAAGATCGATGTATTGTAGACAATAGCACTATAAAAAATAGATGCAGGTGACTGGTCAGATTTGATGTTCTGGTTGTTCAACACCAGGGAAGAAGTCCCAAAACACACTGAATGGCAAGTCAGGTGGACTCCAGACCTGGTCTGGACATAGGTGGCAATGAGAAAACCTCTGCCTCTATTGTAATTCAACCCCATTTTTCCAACCCATAACTAGTCACTTCACTGTTAATACAGGACAGTGAAGTGAGAAAAACACTGAAAGAGAATTAATTACTCTTATGGCATCTGCATTGATTACCCGTTTATTTAAAAATAGAAAATGTGTACAAAATCAAAGTTTTTTTTTGTGAAGTATTAACTATGATAATTATGTGATAGTTTCTGTTTCATCTTCCATGTCTTGTGATAGTTTCCTGACCAATATGTCTATCATAAAGATTACATGGAGAGAGAATTGTAAAATTATACTGAGAGTACCTGAAGAATGTGGATAATTTTGTATATCTGAGCAGTGTAATAAATGAATTGGAAAAATTCAAAATAAAATTGGTAAGACATTTCTGACAGAAAATTTAACAAATTATATGAAAATGTTTCAGAATTTAAGTATCTTCATCAGTAACCAGTTTCAGGAACCCTTACCTTGAGATTACTAAAAGTCTTTTTGCAGAAATAGTATTGGCAATGTTGTGTTGACTTGTAAGGTACCTGTGAGTGTACACCTTGTCATAACCCAGAACATCATCTTCACAGCCACGAGAACCTCAGATTTCACAGAAAGAGTATTAACTATGTTCTATAAATATTATTTACAACACAAAATTTTTACGGTACAAGAATTAATAGCATCATGGAAAGCACCTCAATGGAGTGAAAAGGCTAGAATCTTTCATGAGCCATAGTGCAGGTACAATAATGTTTATCATCACCTCAAGTAATATATTTTTAGTTTGTATAATGCTTTTTTTTTAGGGGGAGAAAGATGATTTTATTTTTCTGTTTAAATATAAAGTGGTTGTGTGCCATACTATTGCAGTCTACCAGAAATAGGCCTCTTGCCTCACAATCTTGCTACTTCGCTTAGGGACTTATGAAGTTGACAGATGAGTGATAATGTTTACAGATAAGGCTGCATAGCAGATCAGCCTGTTTAAGCAGTCCCAAACATGCTACATGTAAGATTTGAGGTTTACACCACGGTGAGTATGAAGATTCATGTCTTCTGGGTTGTTGCGCTGTGTAGTCTGGTAGATGTTTACCAACGTTTCAGAGGTCATACTGCCTCTATCATCAGGGCGATGACAGAGGCTCTATGACCTCTGAAACGTTGATTAACATCGACCAGACTACACAGTGCAACAACCCAGAAGACAGAAATCTTCATGCTACATGTGTGATTAGTTGATAATATTAAAATGGGCATTGTGGATGTAGGTTGTAATAAGGCAGATAGAATTTTGCTAGGTTTAGGGGCATATATCTGTGCAGCGGATGATGTTCAGCTGGTGTAATGTAAGAGATTAAAATTACCCTAAAATTTTACCAGGGAAACTGCAGAAAACAACATAGGTCTCTTACAGACTGATCCCTGAAACTTTCAAAGACAAAACAGTAGTAGTAAGCAATAAATATGTCATAATGTTCAGGATGATGAAAGTGGTACAGTTGGTATGCATGAAAGTTGGAAATTTTTATCTTTGTAAAGGTAACAGAAAGTGCTCTTATTTTTATAAAATAAAAAACGTAAAATGTATTATCTAGACCGGAAGTGGTAAGATAAATATGCAGCAGGAAACAGGCTCTGCTAAGAACAAGATGTGAAAGAAATTGCTCTATTATCAAATACCAAACAGCATTGAGGAGTGAATATAGTGTATGTGCATACAGGTAACATTGTAAGGCTTGTGATACATTTAAAGTATAACAGATTTTCATAAATAACAAAGATGTATATTGAGGTTTATGTGGTAGTTGTGCACATAGAAAAAAACACTTAACAAAAAAACTCATAAATCAAATATCTTTTAAAATTTAATTATAGCCACCAAACAATTTTATTTTATCTATTTATTTTGTTTATCTATACCTGACATATTATGTTTCAGTCTATTTTAGACCATCCATGGGGGGGTCACACACTTAGTAACAGACTAATATGTATGGATATATAAGTAAAAGACACGGAATTTATTGGCTAGCTAAGCTATTATCAGCTAATCAGGAAGGAATCTGCTGTGTGAAGTTGGTGGATGAAGTAAAAGTCTTTAGACTTATGGATAGGGCCCATAAGAGTTCTGTGTGTGTAACATATTCTGGTGTCAGCTTTTTGTTTAACCTCATGGTCTACACAGAAGACACTGGACTAGAATAACAACCTCATTGGGTTTGAGACTGGTCAAATCCAATGTAGATTTATTTTGCATGCCTCTATCTTTCCTAATGTCTGACAAAGGTTAAACTTTACTGTTCAGATATCTTCAGCATTTCTTTTTCACTGTCAAAGTAAAAGACCATGTTTCACACCTATGTAGAAATACTATCATTATGGTATTTTTGTTTTGTTTTCCTAGAAAGAAAAGTACTGCTGTTTGTGTCCAATAATAAACTAATATACTGAAGTAAAATATATTTTTCAGTTATTCCCTCATTATTGACAGTACTGTTCATTCTTCTTTTTACACATATCTTATATAGAAAATGAGATACTGTGAGAGACAACATCGAAGACCTAGACATACAGGGTTAGAAAATATTAAAATGGATCTAAGAATTGGATGTATGGATATGGACTGAATTCAACTCAATGGGATGACTTGTGAACATGGTTTATAAAAGACGAGGAACTTCATGAAAACCTCAACAACTATCAGCTTATCAAGGGCATTCCCCATGGAGTTATGCAGTTTGTTATAGTTAGTAACTTACAGAAAATATGATGCTATATGGTACTGTGTACCACAAGGGAAAAGTAGGTTACACATAATATAAAATTTGAACATTTATTTATGTTTTCATGGAATGTCCCAGTCCCAACTGGTATATAACACCCAAATACAAATAGTGGTATGTTTAAGCAAGGGTTTCCCTTGCCTACTAAAATTTTGCAAGCATAATTCCACCATTTATCCTACACCTCACTCCTATCTTACGCTGAATTAATATGGTGAAGAGTACAATTGCATAAGCTACTTCATATGTAATTTTCTTTATCCTCCTGTTATTTACTCTTTCTTACATCAAAACACCCCTCTCAGCACTTTGTTCTAAAAAATACTCATCTGATGTGAAATTTGAGGTTCTCACATTGGTGGCCATGATAATGATGGTCTTCTAAGTTGTAACTCCATATGGACTTGTAGGCAGATACCAACCTTTTGGAGAAACACTGTCTATCTAATAGTCCACACAGTGTTACAACCCAGAAGACCAACATCCTAAATCTAATGGTCTTTCTTCCCTTATGGTAAAATATAACTCAGGCAGACAACATGGTTCAGTCTACATTAGACTATGATAACCTTAGTATCGATATGTAGCGTGGTCCAAGCTAGATGAGGAAATCCTGATTGCAGTTATCAATAGGTTAAAGATTTCCCATTATGAAACAAGTAACAAGTGCCATTTCTTTTGCCAGATGAGAGAACCTGGATAACCCATTAATGATGGCAGGAGTATTGTTAAAGCATGAGCAGGGGACACATTTGGCCAAGAAGAAGTTGAGCTGCACTGGTCCATGTGTCCAACTTTCAATTAAGACTAGTTCACTGATTTTAGTGTATTATGTATTGTCTATTGGACTTACCTTCTATCAACGCAGATTTCTTCAGGTAAGTGTGCTTTGGAGTGAAACATTTCCATATTAACATTCTTGTTTCTGTACTGCAGAAGATACTTGAACAACTCTTGCACCAGATGGATGATTGATGTATTTTACTATTTTTCTTTATCACATCTTAAATTCAAACTGACCATCAAGAAGTTCCAGCACCTGTTAAGTGTAAAATGTATAATATCATTTGACTGTATGTCTTGCTAGAGATAGAAATTTGTAACACCTAGAGGGATGAACTCCATAATATATCACAAATATTATATCCATTTCATTAAAATGTATCCTTATGAGATGAACTATATAGTAACTTTGCTGCATCAATATAATGATGGCATTTTAATAAATATTGCATGATGGAACACCATGGTGCACAGAATAAAAACAGTGTTTTGAAGTTCAAAGATCAATACCTCTTAATAACTTAAACCAGTGATACCAGGCAAATTTCTGCACTTATTATGCTACTGCTATATGTATCTTATATTTCAGGAATTCCACTTTCCCCTGTCTGTAGTGGTGTGTCACTTAGTACTAAAGTTTGTTTTTGCATCCCTCTGTCGTACGATTTGGGAATGCTGCAGATCAAAGCAAAGAGTTGTCTTGAATTGGGGAAACTATGTGAAAAAAGTGGCACCTACAGGAATTTCAAGCGGACTTGATGTTGGATTGTCCAACTGGGGACTAGAACTAATACCCGTGTCTTTGTGAGTGTATCTGGTTTTCTGCATGATTCAGGAATTGCATATATTAGTCATATTGAGAGGAAATATGGTAGTAATACTGTTCAGTATTTCAATTTATGATGTAATTAGTGAAAATAAATATAACACCTAATGATGTAAGTCCATGTGCTTCAGTATACACATGCTTACAAACTGAACTAATATTTGGGTTGTTGGTCAAATCCCACTGAGAAAATCATGTTTAAATGACTTCTCATTCTGATGATGTGTTGGAAGAATTGCTAAATATGAATATAGATGACTGTGTCACATAAATGTTCAAAATATTTTTTTCTCATTGCTGTGTACACCCATTTTTAGGAGTTTTGCTGTACCCCTCCTCCAATCACACCTATGCCCATATAATGTGAATCCTTCAAGAAAAATATCTTCCCATGAAGAAAAATATAACTCTGGTATACCCATTAAATGCATTTATTTTGAAAATAGGAAGATGACAGTGTACTGGAAACAGTTTGATTTTAGGTTCCAGTATCCAGACTGAGATTATTAAAGTTTTTCTCTAGGCAAATGCCAGGGTTCACATCAAGCACAAATGGTCCATCCTCAGATCTGATTTATGCTACATAACCTTTGCATTTGAAAAGCAGTGACCACACACAAACAGGGAAATTAGGTTTAACATCCTCCATTATTACTAAATCTGAAATGTGACTTAGACATTCTGAAGGAATATATACAGCATAAAACTGTACCTTTATCAAGCTCTAATTAAGGTTAAAGACTTCATCAGTGAAAATTCAATTCATTTGACAACACATGAAGTTCACTTACAGAATTAAAGTTAGGTAGAAATTTTAAATACATTTACCAATATCAGTTATTTACATACAGTTGGGCATATCATGTACCTATACCTCAGAAATAGGTCTTAATAGCATACATCCACATTCGTATCCCGTCCAGGCACACCGTAAACTCAACCACATAACATATAAATGTGAATTATTTGGGTACGTTTATATAGCTCTGAGCTATGTATGCCTATTTTGATCGCACGATTTTGTGATGTACACAAACACAGACTTCTATGATAAAACATTTCTTGGCGGTTAAATATAAATCTATATTTTCATACAAATTTGGATGGTGACAGGTAGTTACTTGTATTTACTTTCTAGTAATAAACAAAATACCAATCATCTGATAAATATTATTGTAGATTACGTACTACGAGTGCGTGCTAAAGAGGCTCACGTAAGACATGGTTACCGCATTCGTCTCATAAATTCCTAATTTTCATCACTCCAAATAAATACGATTTTAACAAGCTTTTAAGCTTACATTTCGTTCTTTAAAAACGGCGTATGAAATTATACTACTGTCTGTATGTTCCCATTTCAACTTTCGAACCACTTGACCGTTATTCATAAAATTTGTAATACCAATATCGCAAAGTTTTATTTCTTACAACCAATAATAATCATAGATTAATACGAACTGATAACAATAATAATGAACGTACCAACACTAGCGTCTCGTAATGTACAGTTCTGAAAGTGCACTTTCAGATCTTGTTCAGATAATCTTTTAGTAAGTAAAAAACATTATGCTCCTGCAAATTTAAAATCATTTAACTTCCAGTCCGAGAGCAATAACTAATTAAATACTGGAATATGACCAATTTCCATGAATCACAGTCGTTGATATGCTGAAGTACGCTCAGCTAAGAAAAAGGAACCTGAATTTTACGAAGGTCAATTATGATGTTCACAACAGCCAGATTAATCCAGTCATCACACGAAATCATATTTCATTACATTTTAATATTATCCTCCCACCTATGACTAGGTCTTCTAAGTGGGCTTCTCCCTTCAGGATTTCCAACTAAAATTTTGTTTTCATCTCCCTGCTATATGCCTTGACCACCTCATCCTAAGATTTTGTAACATGCTGACTTTTTATGGTGGGGATCTGTTAACCAATGCCAAGATCCAAATTGGATGGGCACTTTGGGTCAGTTGTTAACCATCAGGAGAGTGGGTGTACCTCTAGACCTGGTCTAAACATGGTGTAAAGAGAAGACTTTTGTCCTTCCTTTCCCT